TTGTTGATGGGCATTTAGGTTGTTTCCAACTCCTTGCTATTGTAAACAAAGCCGTGATAAACATGGGTATACATATATCTACTTGGATGTCATTTATGGTCTCTTTAGGGTATTGGTTACAAAATGGAGTCCCTCATTCTCTACCCGTGCTATTCCTCTGAAAAGCTCTGGAGGGTCAGCTGTGGGTCAGTTGCGACTCGATACAACATCTCTAACTAAAGTTACTAAAAGTGATTCCCAGAACCGGAATCCAGTGCAGTTGATTCCAGCCGACCTTCTATCAGTTTCCAAGATTGTAAATTTTGACCTGTCACATAAGAAGCAACTGCTGGATTTAACCTAACTTCCTTCCTAGCATATTACACACTAAGAAGCTAAAACAACTTTAACTCAAGGCCATTGAGTTGGGACCAAGTCATAGATATCCCTCCACAAGATATCCAAGGCTAAATAACATGGGAGGAGATTGTCCATCTTGCTCGCAAGGAGCCTCTGATAAGTTTGAACTGCCATGGAGAAACAGCCTTTGGGCAGCAGTGCAACTCACTGTGGTTTTACCGCCAGGGCTCACTTCTGCATGAACAGGGCTCCTTAAAGGTGGTTGTGGCCTAATGGTAAGTTGCACTGCCAACCCAAATGCAGGTGGTTCGGATCCATCAGCTGCTCAGAGGGAGAATAATGGATAATCTTTTCAAGCATCTGATTTACAGCCTCTGAAAAATCCAGCGGAGTGTTGGAGTCAGTTCTCACTGTGAGAGCACAAGACAACACAGCAACCATATGAACAACAGATCAGAACCTAACCTTATCCTAACCCCTCACAGTCTCAAGCTACATTCAAGTCCATTGTTCAAGTTGCTGTGTCAATCTATCTTGTTGTGGTTCTTCCTCTCTTTCACTGACTCCTCTGTCTTTCACAACATGATGTCTTTTTCCAAGCACTCAAAGTGCAGAAATTATCTAACAATATCATTAATATCACATGTAACCAAGATTCTGCTGAAAATTATCCAAAAATGCCAGATGCGCAGGCTGGGTTTAGAAGGGGTCGTGGTACTAGGAATATTATAGCTAATGTTAGATGGATCTTGGCTGAAGGCAGAACATGCCAGAGGAATGTCTATCTGTGTTTCATTGACTATGCAAAGGCATTTGACTGTGTGGATCAAAGCAAACTGTGGCTGACTCTGAGAAGAATGGGAATCCCAGAACACTTGATTGTGCTCATGTGAAACCTATACTTGGACCAGGAGGCAGTTGTCAGAACAGTGCAAGGAAACACTTCATGGTTCAAAATGTGGAAGGGTGTACATCAGAGATGTGTCCTATATCCATACATTTTCAATATATATGCAGAAAAGATCATCTGGGAGGTTGGATTCTATGATGAGGAATGTGGCATCAGGATTGGAGAAAGACTCATCAATAACCTGCTTTATGCAGATGGCACAACCTTGCTTGCTGAAACTGAAGAGGACCTGAAACGCTTGCTGCAGAAGGTCAAGGACTGCAGCCTTCATTATGGATTGAAGTTCAACATCAGCAAAACAAGGATTCTCACCACTGCCGATTGGCAGTATTATGATAAATGGTGAAGAAATTGAGATTGTTAACAGCTTTAGTTTATTTAGCTCCACAATCAACCCTCTTGATACAAGAAACAAGGAAATCAAAAGGTAATTTGCATTGGAAAAGTCTGCTGTCAAGGACATTTCCAGAGTACTAAAGAATAACAGTGTCAATCTGGAGACTGATCCAGGTCATAGTCTTCACAATTAATTGCAATGTGTCAGAAAGCTGGACAATGACTAGGGATGATAGAAAGAAAGTTGATGTCTTTGAACTGTGGTGCTAGAGAAGATTACTGAATATATCATGGACTGCCAGGAGAACAAATATGTTCATCCTGGAGAGGATGAAACCAGGCAGCTCCTTGGAGGCAAGGCTTCTGAGACTTCATCCTACATACTTTGGACATGTTGCAGGGAAAGGATCAGTCTTTGGAAAAGTATATCATTCTTGGGAGGGTGGAAGAACAGCACAAGAGAGGAAGACCCTCAATGAGATGGATTGACTCAGTGACTGAAATAATGGGAGTAGGTGTGTCAGAGACAATGAAGTTGGCTCAGAATCGAGCAGGGTTCAAAGCTGTTCAAAGCTCTATGAATTGCAAGTAACATGATGGTACATAACAACAATAACAAAATTGTTAATATCACACACAAGCAAAATACTGCTGAAGATCACTCAAAAACTTCTAGAACAATACATAGATATTGAAATGCCAGAAGTTCAAGCAGGATATAGAAGAGGCCATGGCACTGGGGATATCATTGCTGATGTCAAATGGATCCTGGCTGAAAGTAGAGAATACCAGAAGAATGCACATTCTGTTAAATTGCTTAAAAAAAAAAGAAGAACAAATATCTCTTTCCACTAGTTGAACAGGTAACTATTTTCCTGATATCTTGGCATAGGCTAGTGAGCACATCCAGGGCTGCATCTATTTGTTGAAACATATCAAGTGGTATTCCATCCGTTCTGGAAGGCTTTTTTTTTGCCAGTGCATTCAACGCTGCTTGGAATTCTTCCTTCAGTACCGTTGGTTCTTGATCAAATGCTACTTCCTGAAATGGTTCAGTATGGACCAATTCTTTTCGGGATAGTGACTCTGCATATTCCTTCTATCTACTTTTGATGCCTCCTGTGTCATTCAACATTTGCCCTTCAGTATTGCAACTTGTTCTTCAGTTCTTTTAGCCTGAGAAACACTGGATATGTTTTTTTCCTTTTGGTCTTCTAACTATCTTTTTGTACATTTGATTTTAATAGTTTGTTTTTTGAGCTGCCCTTTAAGATATTCTGTATTTCATCCCTTGTTTTGGCTTCTTCACATTATAATACAAGCTTCAAAGTCCCTTTGGACATCCATGTTGGTTTTTACAGGTGAATAGTAGTATCATTAAAAGGAGACCTGGTGCCCAGTAGTCTAATCTCTCTGCATTTAACTAAAAGGTAGCACTTGTGTGGGGCTTCTTATGATTTTAGGGATGAGAAGTCCTGAACACCATTTGAAAACCTGTCATGTAGACCAGGCAGTATCTGGTGCTTTTCACATATTAACAATGTTAATAACTAGGCCAGGAGCTGATTGTGGAACAGACCACCAACTACTCATATGCAAATTCAAGCTGAAGCTGAGGAAAATGAAACCAAATCCAAGGCAACCAAAATATGACTTTGAGTCTATCCCACCTGAATTTCAGAACCATCTCAGGAACAGGTTTGAGGCTTTGAACACTAATGA